CCATCCCCATCCCCACCATCCCATCACTATTATCATTATCACCATCACCATATCCCCACTGTCCCCACCATCCCCACCTCTATCAACATCACCATCACATATCGTCACCATCACCACCACCCTAACACCATTATCATCACCTCCATCACCACCATCCCCACCTCTATCACCATCCCCATCACCACCATCCCCACCATTCCCATCCCCATTATTATCATCACCATCCCCACCCCATCATCATCATCATCACATATCATCACCATCACCACCATCATCACCATCACATATCATCACCATCACCACCACCCTAACACCATTATCATCACCACCATCCCCACATCCCCACCATCCCCATCCCCATTATCATTATCACCATCCCCACCACCATCCTTATCACCACCATCCCCATCACCACTACAATCACCATCACCATATCATCACCACCATCACCATATCATCCCCATCCCCATCACCATTATCATTGTCATCATCCCCAACCCCATCCTCATCCCTATCACCATCCTCATGACCACCATCATCATCCCCATCACCATGACCACCATCATCATCCCTATCACCATGACCACCATCCCCATCACCATGACCACCATCCCCATCACCATGACCACCATCCCCATCACCATGACCACCATCCCCATCACCATCCCCATGACCACCATCCCCATTCCCATGACCACCATCCCCATCCCCATGACCACCATTCCCATCCCCATGACCACCATCCCCATCATCATGACCACCAGCACCATTATCATTATCATCCCCCTCCTCCTCCTCCTCATCACCATTCCCATGACCAGCATCCCCATCACCATGACCACCATCCCCATCCCCATCACCATGACCACCATCTCCATCACCATCACCATGACCACCATCCCCATCACCATCACCATGACCACCATCCCCATCACCATCACCATGACCACCATCCCCATCACCATGACCACCAGCACCATTATCAGTATCATCCCCCTCCTCCTCATCATCATCACCATCACCATGACCACCATCATCATCCCCATCCCCATGACCACCATCCCCATCCCCATGACCACCATCCCCATCACCATCCCCATGACCACCATCCCCATCACCATGAGCACCATCCCCATCACCATGA